TGTTCTGGCCCTCGCGCTCCTCGATGTTGATGTTCACCTTCAGCTCGTCCTTGAGACGGTTGACATTCGATCCGGCCTTGCCGATAATATGCTTGTAGTACGAGGGATTCACAGTCATCACCTCGTAGGTGAAGTTCTCCTCGTAGTTGCGTATGATCTCGGTCAAGTAGGAGATGGCCTTGTCCACGTTCTCCGGGTCGCCCTCGAGCTTTATCTTGTCCTCGAGGCAGTTCACGTTCACGTTGGGACAGTCCTCCTCGAGCTGCTTCATGTTGGCTCCCTTGCGGCCGATCACGTACTTGTGGATCCAGTGCGGCGCATTGATCTCCACAGACTTCACCGAGTTGGCCTTCTGGTAAACAACAGTGAGGGCATTGCCGAGGGCGACCTGGGGGCCGCGCAGCGTAATCGTCTCCAGGGTGGAATCGTTCGGCGGCATCTCGACGGAGACTCCCGTGAGCTGAAGGATCTCGGCAATGGTTGAGCCCTTGGGACCGATGACATAGCGATGCTGTGGCTTGGCCACCTCAACGCTCACCGTCGAGCACTTCTTCTCCATCTCCTTGTAGATGGCCTCGACCTTTGCCTTGGCCGCGGCAACGGCATCCTTCTCGCCCGAGATGATGATCTCGTCCTTCTGCACCTGCTGCGGCGGCACGTTGATCTTGGCGCCCGTCTCCTCCTGCAGCTTGTTCAAGTTCTCGCTGTAGGGACCCACAATGAACGGATGGTAGATTTTGGGAATCGTGGTGCGGTCCGACGACTTCTTGTACTGCTCCGCGGACAGCTGGCGGATTTCCTGCTCCGCCTTCTCGATGCCCTCCTTCGTGCCGGCAATGGTGATGAACTCGCTCTCGTCGCCCTGGCTCGGGATATTGATGCGCGTCGAGGTGAGGCGCTCCAGATCCCGCAGCCGCTGGCCACCCTTGCCCAGGATCACGCGGTAGTGCTCACGGGGCACGGTAACCTGGCGGCTGGCCTGCGTTGAGAAACTCATCAGAATCTTGCGCCGGGCGTCCAACAGCTCGCTCTGCTTGCCCTTGATAAGGAAGGTGAGCGACTGGTTCTTGCCGCTGACGATCTCAATCTGGGCGCCGGTCTCCTTGGTGATTTGCTGGCAAATCCGCTTCGATTCGCCCTCGCCAAACTTATCCGACTCCGTCGACTTTCGCTCATCGCAGGGCACGTGCAGCACCTGTCAAGTGGTGAAATTCGACAAATGTCAGTCGGATATTGACAGATCGGAATGCCCATACGATCCTCGCGATCCACTTACCTGCGTCTTCTGCGAGCTCGTCACTCGGGCTAGCGACGAGCTGGATGGGCCGGACAGCGCAGGCGCCGAGGTATTGGCCGGCAGGGCCGGGAATAGGTCGTCGTAGCTAAAGGCGGGCGTGGCATTGCCAGTGCCTCCGCTGTTGGTGCTGGTGGGCGTTGCCACTGAAGTGGGCGAGGATGGTTGCTGCTCGTTGGACACCTGCTCTTGACCGTTGATGAGGGCGATCGGTTGTTGCTCAATGCTGGTTGCTGCAATCGATTCAAAGGTTAACCAAGAGCTTTTGGCGTCGGGTCGCCACTGGGGATTGTCCTTACCGTTGGATTCCTCCATCACTGCTGCTGCTGCTTGCATTACTTAAAAAAAGAGAAGAGTCCTTTTTCGTTCCAAGTCGTTACAGTAACACTGGAAGCAGAGAAAATTTGTTATTATTTTACATTTCAAGATAATGGCAAGTGAAGTGCTATTTTTATTGGAGATTTCTGGGAAAATCCATCAGTCAATCAATCAATCAATCAATGAATTCAATTATTCAGTCAGACCGCAGTCGGTCTGCATTTCGGAAGGCACTGATTCTTAGTCGGTCGGCTCAGATTTGGTTTGCAGGCAGCTCCTCCTCCTCTTGTCAGTGGATTCAAAATCTCAATTACTTTCGCCGATAAGTGCCGACCGACGCCGACCCGCATTTCGGCCGCCGATAAGGAAACGTTTAGTGCGTTTCCGAAGGAGGGTTGGTCACCCCCGCCCCGCCCTGCCTGCTGCCGTTCCCGGTCCCGCTCGTGCCCGGCCGGTTGATAAACCAAATCTAGCAGCACGGTATTTAGTTTTAGCTTTCTGCCAAGAGCCACGTAATGGTAGCGTACAAGTGATGTGAACGGGGCTCCATTTCGCTGGCGATAAGTGGACTGGGCCGGTCCGAGGCCACGCAGGCAAAATATAGAAGCGATGCCAGTGATAGCTATCAGCTGCTAAGGCTGATAAGAACAACCTGTGCGACCGATCGCCAGCAGATATCTAGAAATAAAGCTGCTATCAGTCGGTTTTTTTGCTTGGGTGAAAGGTTGGTACCGTCGAAAGCGGAGCCGCAGCAGCCAGAGAGATCGAGGAGCAGACCGTGCACTTGTTCGACGGAGCTGTTTTCTAAGCCAATGCCCAACGAGTTTTCGTAGCCTACATTCTCCTCCTCTCGCCCCAGAAGAACAACAAAGATGTGCGGCTGCCACTATCGCTCCCCTCACGCACACTTACGTGTTTCCGAGTGACTCTGTGTCTGTGTGTGCTCGAAAAATGTGTCAAAAGAAGAAACCAGCAAGGGAGAGAGAGAGCAAAAGCAAGAGCAAGAAAGAGAGCTTGACGAAGTAACTCAACGGACCGGGAGGGGAGGGCCCCCAGTGAGTGCCAGGCCAGTGCCATATAAAACCGGATGATAGCCGGCAACTACAACAAAGCGATCGGATCGACAGTGTATGCGCACATTTTTGTGTCGCTCTTTGCCTCTGTATTGGTGCCTTGGCACCTTTCTAGCAGCATTGCTGCTGCCGTTGTTGCTGCTGCTTCTGGTGGTGCCGTTGCCGTTCGAGAAGAAGGCAAGGCACGGCACAGGTAAAGCAAATACATACACATGCACAAATGTACATACACTCGATTGTGGGCATGTATGCATGTTCATGTACGTATGTGCAGAGGCATGTAACGCCTGCAGCGACGCTGACGTCGACAAATGAAGACAAAGCACAGTGCGCTGCTAAAGTTCAGCTTTAAAAATTGGTATGCACATATCGAACTTTTGTTGGGTGATTTCCATCCAGGCCTCTGGGTCCACCGCTCGCTGGGCGGCGGTGCCGGGGAGATGGTGCCGAAAAACCCTTGACGTAGTCAGTTTTTGGGCACGGAACAACCGTTCATTTCTGGTTCGGCATTCTTGGCCACAGAAGAGCACACAGACACACTCACTCACTGGTCGGGGGCATGTGGAATGGTGGTAAAATTATGCAAATTAATATACAATCCGATGGTGTTTCCATCTGTTTTTTTTGTTTTGTTTTTTTTTTTCTGGAAAGTGGTTAGTGCGGGAAGGTTGTTCAACTTACTGTACTGTAAAATCCAAAAAATCCGGCCTAGTTAGTCTCCTTTGACAAAATCCAGTTTGATAACTTGGCGTGTCTGCTGGAAGACATACAAGAATCAAAAGAACAGAGTAATTAGCAGATGCATATCGTCGTCTCATCGTTTGCCGGATGCTCTACACGGAGCAGCTCGGGGGAGCATGTTTCGTGTTCTATCGAGAGAGTCTGTTGCTCTTCGCTGCGAGAGGCGGAAGGAAGAAAGTGCACAGATTTGTGTGTTATGCGGGGGTGCGGTTCGGGGAAATATGCGGGCCACTTATTGGACAATTGTTGTTGTCGGCGCAAAAGTGGAGCACACAATGGCGTTGGCGTAGGCGTAGGTGTACGCGTGGGCGGAAGCAGGCGCCGTATGGGAGGCAATGGGAGGCCGAAATCAAGTGAAAGGTTTCAGCTATAGCCTTCCACCCCCTCAAAAGACTTTAGGGCCGCACCATCTGGTGGGGCGGGGCTGGGCGGCGCGAGGCTGTGATTTGATGGAATGGGTTTCATTGAACTTTTGTGCTGGCTTTAAACACTCAATACGGAAAGAATACGAATTTCGGAAAGCTTCAATCGTGCCATCCAAGGAACAGCACGCGCGCTCTGCTCTCCAATCGGACAGATTATACATAGATGTACCTATGTATGGGCATACATATGCATATGTTCATACTATGTATGTTTGGTACTCTGTGTGCGTGGACGACAACGCTGTCTCCGTTTCCGTCACCGTCACCGCCGCCGCCACCACCACCACCGTCGTCGTAGCCGTCGCCAGCGCTGCGACTGCTGTGTGCCTTTGTGTGAGTGAGCGCGAGTGCGAGCGCCGCCCGTGCCGTGCCAGTTGCTGCGATGCGACCATTATCAAGCATTGAAAAACACGTTGTTTTTTGCAGCAATTTTTCTCTTCGAGAATTCCGCACGGAAAACGCGAGCGGCAAGCGCCTAATTTAAATGCAGCCCAGACTACTCCTCTCCTCCACGTTGCCAAGTCGTGAAAGAAAAAGGTGTTGCGGAGCGGCGCGGCCTAAATTTTCGCTGCTGTCACAGCCGCCTGCTCCATCAAGCCCTTCATAACTGTAAATTTATGCACTTTCTTGTTGTAACTTATGTAATTTAATATGCACATTTGATTGCACTCGATTTTTGTGTGTTATTAGGGGTTTTTGCCACAAATCTATCGCCCAGACTTTCTATTAGATGCAACACGCGAATTACCGACCAAGTGAAGTAGAAAAGTGATGAGCGAACGTGGCAAATGGTGATGGCCAACTTGTCATTCTGTTGGCAATCGGAAACGAGGCACACTTTGTTGATGACAATCGATGAGAGCGACTATCGATTGATGACCGTCGATAGTTGATTGCCTGATAGTAATTACTAATAATTAATAATACCTACTCTTGTAGGTGCATTCAATCCTTAATCTTTGCTTAAAAAAAGGCCACGATATATTTCACGTAAACTGCGCTAAAATTCTTCAAGATTCATAATATTCGTTGAGACTAATTATCGGTTTGGGATTACCAGTTATTCGACCAGGGACGAGAACGACTATCGATTGTTTATTACCGATAGTTGATTACTAATGCCTAGTCGTTAGTCTGCCACCTCCAACTTCCAAACACAAAGGGTAAAAAAACCCCAAGTCTGTGGAATTTCCGGAGCTTTATCTATTTATTGACGATCGAGTAACCACGACAGACGCAATATGCCGAAGCTGAAGAACTTGCTGCCCAACATATTTGGCGGTAGCAAGGAGGCACCAAGTATGCAATCTGAGGGGCGACTGGAAACAGATGCAGCGCCTGTCGATGATAGCGGGGCAGATAACAATAATAGTGGAGCCTTGGCGCTGCCGTCCATCAATACCCCGACAGCCTCAGCGGATCTGACGGAATCGGTATTGCGGGAGCTTTCCGACCCAAACTACAATTCTATGGATGTTGTGCAGTCCGCCAACATTCCTGGGACCGGCGGGGACCTCAGCACAGTCAACACGAACAACACCATGAACGTCCACAGTGCACAGCAACAGGTGGTTATGAACTTCTCAAATGCAAGCAATCTACACTTTGGCTCCGTGTACAACTTTAACAAAAATCTAAGCGCCAGCAGCTCGCGGAAGAGCAGTACAGGCACAATTGACGAGGTGGCGGTCTCGCCAGACGGTAAACGTTCCAATGGTACGCGCAAGACTGTCAGCATAGTGGCCATGATGCAGTCTCAAGATGAGCCGGATCCGCGGCTGCTGGACGCGGTGGCTACCCATTTGGGCGAGGGATGGAAGCAGGTGATGCGGGACTTGGGCCATTCTGAGGGCCAGATTGACCAGGCCATAATTGATCATCAAATGCACGGCAATATCAAAGAGGTGAGACATCCAAAACTGTATGAATTCTAGTGAATGACGCTCTGGTTGTTTCTGGTTTCTCCAGGTGATTTACCAACTTCTGCTCCAATGGGTACGGAGCTCTGAGAGCGGCGTGGCTACCGTCGGACGACTCACAACGCTGCTTTGGGAGTCACAGCATCGCGATTGCGTGCAGCGCTTGAAACTGGTTTGGAAGGCATTAGAGAAGCGCAAGACGAACAGTTAGCTGAATGATCACGTCCACTCCAAACGAAAATGATCTATACGATGCACTCTTTCAACGATCAACCCCCTTGGAAAGAGCAAGCTTTATTAAATGCTTTGTTTACTCTCTTTGAACGGGAGAGAGAGAGAGGCCAGCATTCAACCATTTGTGCAATATTTGTTTAAATAATCCAAACATTCGAATAAGTACATAGAACTTTGTCCTAAATCATTTATAAACCAGTTTGCCTTTAAGATGTGATATTTTTTCGTAAAAGGGCCCACATAACCACAAACATACAATGTACTAAAAAATGAATTTTGAATTTTGAAGCACTGTTTACTAAACGTTTTATTGCATAATCAATCTCATGTTTGACCTTAAAAAATACGCTTTCACCTGCAAAAGTCACACTATCTTTGTGATTTTCGCATTATACATGTCAATCAGCATCTGTGCGCCGTTGCCGTTGTTCGACTGGTAGTTGGGTCGTCCGGCCATTCGGGCCAACCAAGCGCTGAGTCCTGGATAGCGCTTCGGGTCAATGGGCGCCAGACCCACCAAACTGGAGACCGACGATATCACACTAAAATCGGCTATGGTTACGCTGGCTCCGCACAGGTACAACTCGGCGCCAATGAAGGCCTCCAAAAAGTCGTAGGCTTCGTATATAGCGTCGATCTTGGATCTCGGAACTTCCGTCTCATCGCGGAAGAACAGCGGAAGTGCGATATTCCTAATGCAGTTTTGGAACAGCACAGCCGACTCGAAGTGCAAACGTTGATCCACGACGGCGCGCTTGAAGAAGTCCTTGGGGTACAGGGCATCATCCTTGGCATACTTCCGAACCAGATAGGCGCAGATGGCGTGGCTCTCCCAAATACACTTGCCATCGTCCTCCAGCATGGGCACTGTGTGCTGCGGATTCTTCAGCTTGAACTCCTTGGTCTTGTTCTCACCAGCAAGCAGATTAACCAGCTTGAATTCATACTGAAGCTGTAGTGCATCCAGCGTCATTTTGCAGGCCCTCACAGGCGGACTTGGCTCTAAGCCGTACAGCACAAGTTTTCCCATTATTTCCAACGTGTACAGGCTGCGAGTGTCGATTTAAAACTAAACTAAGTACCCCGCAAAGCACTCAATCGAGCTCAGTGCTTTTTTTTTTAATTAATCACATGTGCATGTATTATTCCACAAACCGGAGCTTTTTCGAATATTTCGCCACAAATGCCAGCACTCGTAGTTTACGTAATCCAGATTGTTCCATGTTACCCATTAGATTCTCTTCGCTCCTTATCATATTCATATTCATATCATATATATATGTATATATATATTGATATTCGTTACGTATATAAAAGTACTACAGTCCGACCATAAGACAGATTTGCTAATCGCTAGTCAGATTTATTTTTTGTGCGTTAAGTGGAATGAGTTATAAATAGATCAAATTGCCGCGATTTGTCCAATTAAACTCTTTCCGATAACATTGACATATGTATGTATATTTCGTGATTGGTAACGCCTATCTGCCTTCTGTTCTATTACCTACGAGTATGAATGCAATATACCCTTGTAAACTCTTGGCCAAACATGCGTCGCTCAAGCTGTTTGGTCGGACCTTATCGCATTGATAAGAATTCGTATGAATCAAGTGGTTTGAAATCGATTTGTTACAAAACAACCTAGATATACAGTCTTTGGCGATGCTTAAAAGTCGGTCCCCACTCCGAAACGAATACAATAACAAATTGTATGCCTTGGGCGCGACGAGGCATATTTTTCCAGAGACTGGGACCGACTGTGCCTCGCAAAAGGTGTATTTGTTCTAGGATTCTGGGACCTGACGGCCAGACGAAGTGAGTGACAGAGGAGCCTCGCTCAGAGGCGAAGGACAGCACAATTTAATTGGATGAGAATCGTTTCTAGATCTTGTAAATATTTTCGCTTTGTTTCCATTATCTGGTACCAGCATGAATGTCAAGTGGGGGGTCTGATAATAAAAGTGTTTGTCCCATTTGAACTATTGTTTATTGTATTTATTGTATTTATTGTGAAATATGAGCAGCATATAAATTTACAGCTGGATCACGATGCAAAGCTGAAATTTGTTTGCTTGATAATGGCAAGCAATTCCCGGACACCTTTGGCATTGGACTCCTCGTAGTAGGGGAGCTGTTCCAGACGCTTGATCCAGGCACTAGTTCTCACATATTTGGCGCGATCGATGCCCACAAAGGCCTCCAGCGAGACGATGGAGGACACAAGGCTGAAGTCCGCTATGGTCAGCTGATTTCCAGCAATGTAGTCCTGGTCCTTTAGGAAGGTCTCCACGAAGTCATAGATCTCGACAATGGCTTGATGCCTCTCTTTGGGAATTACTTTCTGATTAAAGAACAATAGAGGCTTCGTGATGCTCCTCAGGCCATCGGCAAAGACCACTCCGCTCTCGAAATGTAGACGCTGATCGACCACGGCCCGCTGCAGCAGATCCTTGGGGTACAGACTGTCACTATCGGCATATTTGGACACCAGATAGGCGATGATTGCATGCGAGTCCCAAATGAAGTGGCCGTCTTCCTCCAAAGTGGGTACCGTGTGCTGTGGATTCTTCTTCACATACTCGGGCGACAGTTGCTCGAGACCCGCGAGATTGACATTCACAAAGTCGTAGGGCAGGTTCAAGGCCGCCAGCGTCAGCTTCACAGCTCGAACTGGGGGGCTGGCATCCACTCCGTACAAAGTTAACTTAACCATATTGTCGTTAGAGAGCTTGGTTGGCTAATGATCAATTCGCAGCTGGTAACCAGCCATTTTATAGAGTGCTAGTAAAGAGAAACAACTGGGATGAAGAGAAATTTGCACTCGTAAGAGTTCCCCGAATCGTGAAATTAATACAATAATGAACACAATAGCTGAGGTCAAAGTGCAAGTAAATACATCCACGCCCACATAGCAGGCACCTGACAACAAGTTATAGATACCGACGGAAAGAGCTCGCCAAAAACAGGCCTAAGAGAATGCCACATTTAAGAGTAGACAAAGAGTGTGATGTGCCCAGTCATTGCTGATTACCGATTACTGACTTGACCGAACACCGAGCAGACCGATAAGCGACTATCAGTTGTTTGTTCCGATTCTGAAGTAAATCTGAACAAACAATGAACTCGAGTGGAACTCTTTCTGGATACAGACAAGGTATGAAATTTCAATTCATATGAAAACTGCTGTTGGGTTTTTAATTACCTTCTGTCCAGAAAGCTGGCTTGAGTTCTGCGAAGTTCGAATTCCAGAGCTTTCCACTCGACCATCGCCTTCATTTACGAAAGTAAATCTTCAATAGATATGTATATTTAGACATTTTCCAACAACTCTACAGAGTCAGATTCAAATTAGTTTTGAGGTCAGCTAAGCTTCAACTACAGCTACAGCGAATATACGTATTTATTGAGAAAACTTGGCTACAGACGTTTAGACAATGGTAAAGTTTTTGCTCTTAAAAAAGGTGGCACACTGCACCAGTCGGTTACCGTTGCTTTCTGCGTAGTACGGCAGTTCGGTTATGCGCTGCATCCAGGCGGACACCTTCGGATACTTGCCAGCATCCACTGCCAGGAATATCTCAATGGTTGACAGGATAGCGATGATGTGAAAGTCGGCAATAGTCAGATGCTTCCCAGCGATGTACTCGTTGTTATTCAGGAATGTCTCCAGGGTGGTGTACACGTCCGCAAGAGCATCGATCCTGGCCTTCGGAATTTGGGTCTCGTTCAGACGGAACAGCGGAAATGTTATGGCCCTCAGGGTTCTACCCACAACGCTAGAGTCGTAGTGCATACGCTGGTCGACGATTGCCCGCTGCTGGAGATCCTTGGGGTAGAGAGACTCCTTGCCGTCCTTGCCGTACTTGGCCACTAGGTAGGCATTGATGGCGTGACTGTCGTACACGTAGAAGCCGTCGTCGTCTAGTGTGGGCACGGTGTGTAGGGGGTTCATCTTGAGGAATTCCGGCTTGAGCTGCTCCTTGGCCAGCAGATTGACCACCTTGTACTCGAAGGGCAGACCCAAGGCGTTCAGGGTCAGTATCACCGAACGAACCGGGGCGCTGGCATCCATGCCATAAAGTATTAGCTTTCCCATTCTGCCTCGAAGTGAACGCACCCAATGGTTGCACTTTCTACTTATTCTCGTTTGTTGACAAACTTTTTAGAGCGGGGAGAGAGCTTCGATGAGTACTGTACTGCAAAGCTCGGTGCACTGAGGAAGGTGCTTCTCTGGTGCTCTTTGGAGTGCTCGAACTAGGGGTTTAACTCTTTCTGCGTGCTCTCTGTGCGGGGTCGGGTTTGGTTCTCCCGATGTTCACCCTAGGGCACGATGGTGAAGTTCTTGGACTTTATAAGTTGCATGAACTGGGTAGCTCCACTGCCGTTCGCCTCCTCATAGTAGGGCAGCTCCTTGAGGCGCTCCAGCCAGGCTGCTGTCTTGGGATACTTCACCGGATCGTGCTCTAAGTAGACGCCGAGCGAGCTGATACTCGACACAATGCTGAAGTCGGCAATGGTTAGGTGATCACCGGCCACAAAGTCGTTATCCAGAAACGTTTCCAAGAAGTCGTAAACCTCGTTGACTTCGTCTACATTGGCCTGAGGCAGGGTGGTGCCCCCAAGGAACAGCACCGGCCTGGTGAGACGACGCAGGGCGCCCTCGAAGATGACCCCCGACTCGAAGTGCATTCGTTGATCGACCACAGCCCGCTGCAGAAGGTCCTTGGGGTACAGTTCGTCGGTCTCCGCGTACTTTCCCACCAGATAGGCCATGATTGCATGCGAGTCCCATATGTAGTCATCATCGTCCTGCAGCATGGGCACCGTATGCTGGGGATTCTTCTTCATGTAGTCCTCGGCGAAGTTCTCTTTAGTAAGTAGATTCACGAAGACGTACTCGAAGGGCAGCTCCAAGGCCTTCAGGGTGAGCAGGCAAGCCCGGGTGGGTGGACTGGCGTCCAAGCCGTACAGCGAAATCTTACCCATGGTTGAACTTCTGATAACTGACTGGCAGCTCCCGCACTTAAACGGGCTTATATACTGCCTCCGAACGTGGGAACTGTCAACCAGGTAATGACTATTTAATAAGTTCCGTCCTCTCAGTTGGCATGGAAAAGTGCCTGTCAACAAATTCGATTTTTTCTTTAATTAGCTGCGATAAAAAATGCATGAACCAAAGACAGGTATGGGAACACATTGCATGACAAACAGGTCGTCCTTTGAATGTCCACGCATGTGGCTCCCCAAAGGCGGGTCTTCTGCCTACGTAATCAAGAAAGACAGATAATGTACTTTAAAATGTTAATAGTCCAATGGTACATGGATCGTCCGTCTTTTACTCGAATGGAACTAACAAAATGAGGCATAGTTGTGGTTTTTTCAGAACAGCTTGGGGCTAGCTTCTCTTAACTTAAGAGTGATTGAAAGTGCCTTTATGATTTACCAGTTGTTTCCAAAGAGAAACATAAGCGTCACTGTTATTTGCTGCCAATACTGCCAATAAATGAAATATTTATGAATTTTCAGTGTCAATATTGCCTCGTTACCTTGGGAGCGAGCTTTAATGACTAGGCAGCTTTGAGTGTGGAGTTTAAATTTATTCAAATACGACTATTGCTACAAACTATAATTATTTAAAAGAATCTCAAACAATTGTAAAATTCTTGCTCTTGAGGAAATCTGTGAACTGAGTCACCTTCGATCCATTGGCCTCCTCGTAGTAGGGCAACTTTTTAATACGCTGAACCCAGCCCGCCAGATTGGGGAATTTTCTGGCATCGACTTCGAGGAAAACTACCATGCCCGACAGGACAGCGATGACGCTGAAGTCGGCAATCGTCAGGTTATTTCCAGCCAAGTAATCGGTGCTCTTTAGGAACAAATTCAGAGTCTCGTAGACGCCCGAAAGCGCGTCGATTTTGGCTTGGGCGATTTCGGTTTGGTTTTCCCTAATCAGGGGAAAGGTGATTGCCCTGGCGGTGCTGCCAAAAACACTGGAGTCGTAGTGCAAACGCTGATCCACGATCGCCCGCTGCTGGAGATCCTTGGGGTAGAGAGACTCCTTGCCGTCCTTGCCGTACTTGGCCACTAGGTAGGCATTGATGGCGTGACTGTCGTACAAGTAGAAGCCATCATCGTCCAGTGTGGGCACGGTGTGCAGGGGGTTCATCTTGAGGAATTCCGGCTTGAGATGATCGCCGCCAAACAGATTGATCACCTTGTACTCGAAGGGCAGACCCAAGGCGTTCAGGGTGAGGAGCACAGAGCGCACTGGCGGACTTCCATCGATGCCGTAAAGAGTAAGTTTTCCCATATTGTTGCTTGGAGTTGGTAAGAGACGAGACTGTTCTGTGGTTCATTCGTCCAACATTGTGCGCTTTATATAGTCTCGGAAGAGACGCTGTCCGAAGAGAGCTTTGCAATGCTATGCTGACTCTGCACTTTATAAGGGAGTGGAGTGGAGAGGCGTGCCGTCTGCTCACTCTTCGATGTTGAAATTCCCTCTTTGATGATGACACATCATGGGTAAAAGCTCTCTCTTTCGGCGCTTAACTAATGGAAAGTCCGAGAACATCAACACAATCAGGTTTGGTCAAAATTTCATGTTTATTTGTGTAGATTAATAAATTTGGACTGATAAAAATGCCGGCTGGCTGTATTCGCACGACCGTAAAACCATGTCATTTCATATTTTAAAAGATATGAGATGTATCTATCCAACAGAACACTTTAGCTATTACACAATGGTTAAAAATCCCTTTAGCATGCCAATGTACTTATTCGCGCCCCGCAGGTTGTCCTCCGTATAGTGGGGCAGCTTAGAGATGCGTTCCAGCCAAGCCGCGATCTTGGGATACTTCACTGTGTCCAGATCGAGGACTGCGGCCAGCGAGGCAGCCGTAGCCGCACAGCACAGGTCCGCTACGGTTAGGGTATCGCCTGTGACGTAAGGACTTTCGCCCAGGAATGTCTCCAGATGTCCATAGGCTTCGCTGACATTGTTCACCTTCTCTTTGGGCACCAAGCTCACATTGTGGAGGAAGTAGGGAACACTGATATTGCGTAGGGCCATGAACAAGATGCTGGCATCGAAGTACAAACGTTGATTGACCTGGGCACGCTTCACCAGATCCTTGGGATAGAGCTCGTCCGTCTTTGCATACTTGTCCACCAAGTAGCAGACGATGGCGTGCGAGTCCCAAATGAGTGCTCCGCCGTCATCCAGCAACGGGACTGTGTGCTGGGGATTCTTCTGCAGAAACTCTGGGGAACGATGCTCCCCTGCGAAGAGATTGACTTCCTTATACTCGAAGGCCAAGCCCAAGGCTCGCAGAGTCAGCAAACAGGCCCTCACCGGCGGACTAATGTCCATTCCATACAGCACAATATCCGACATGGTCCGAACAGACGAGAAGTCAAGAGTCAAATGCTACTGAAACTAGGCCGTTGACGACTCAAAACTTATGGGGCTTCAGGGAAAAGCTAGAAACGCGTCCCCAAATGAATTTGAATGAACAAAGAATTGCGTAAGCTCCAATTTAAATTAAATAAACAGATGTTCTCGGTTGGGTTTTATTTATTTTCCACATTTATGCACCCAGCTTGGTCCACTGGCTGCGGAGGAAGTCGCAGTAGTTCTTTGCTGGGGCTCTGTTGATTTGCTCAAAGAAGGCCAACCTGTTGAGGCGCTCCACCCAAGCAGTCACCTTGGGATACACCGCAGGATCGATATCCACGGCTGCGGGCAGTGAGGTCACCGTGGGTCCACAGCAGATGTCGGCGAGTGTCAGCGAGTCGCCCACGAGGTAATTGTTGCTGCCCAGGAAAGTTTCCACCATCTTTAGACCCCTATGGATGGTGTCGAGCTTCTCTTGCGGCACCTCCTTCACTCCGTTCACCCAGAAGGGCCCGCTGACATTGGCCAGGGAGGGAAAGAGGACGCTGGCATCGAAGAACAGCCGTTGGTTGATGGCGGCCCGTTTGGCCAGGTCCTTTGGATAGAGCTCATCGGACTTTCCATACTTGTCCACGAGGTAGATGACTATAGCATGGGAGTCCCAGATGATGGTTCCGTCGTCATCCAGCACTGGCACTGTGTGCTGGGGGTTCTTCTTCAGGAACTCCTCTCTGAGATGTTCTCCGCTCTGCAGGTCCACCTCCTTGTACTCGTACGGCAGCTCCAGTGCCTTCAGTGTCAGCTGGACAGCCCGAACACATGGGCTCATATCTATTCCATACAGAATTATATTTTTCGACATTGTGCTTGAACGTTTCAATTACAAATGATCTTTCTTTCGCACTCTATTCTATATTTCAGCATCTATCTACGTCTTATCTACCGAAAGCTTTGAGCAGAGCGAAAGAGTGAGCACAACACACACACAACCGGCAAAAATGAATAAAGCTCTTGCTCAGTCAAACAAATTTGTTTATACTGCCCTCTCTATCTCTCTCTATCAAGCCCCCCAGCAAATTAATTTCGTCAGAACTGCGATTTTTTCCAAGATTGTAAATGTGTATATGTATGTATGTAAATAATTATCTACATATGTATGTATGTGTTTGGTTAAGCCTCGCATTCAACTCGTATGCGATAAAGTTTGTGAGCTTAATTGTATTTGTTTACTCAGCATGAAACGAATATTATTCTACCTCTCCTCTGACTGAGCTCCTCTTCTCACTTCACAATGTTCCAATATTCCCTATCCATTGGCACTAACACAAGCCTACGTTTTGCAAACATATTCTATGCACACATGTAAATGTGTACATATGTATGTATATTTACAGGCCGCTGAGCTTACAACTTTGAACAAGCTTAGATATGCTTTTAACGGCCGAAGCTTCAGCAGGTGAAGCTTTTAAAGCTTTCCGACTGTGTTTATCCTACATACTGGGTTTACCTTTTAACTACTATTTAAATCTTTTAAAACTGGTGTGCTCCTTCAAACAGGCCAAGAAATACTTTACTATATTAGCTGGCTTAATGCTGGTTTATACGCCGTGATTTAGAAAAAAAATATCGTAGCCCGTTTGTGATGATTTTTGGCAGATATTTGGATAATAGAAGAAAGGTGATGGTTCTCGTGGGAAAGAACCCTGGCCGTACATAAGTATATCTATACAATACAAATATATAACGCTCTGTGATTTCCAACCATTTTTATTCGATCTGTGCTCCACTGTACGTATGTACAATGTACATCGTTATGCATAAAACATACCCTTGCACATACTTGACGAGCACTGGCTGTTCAAAGTCACATAAATCATGTGGAAAGGTGAGCAAATATTGTGGTAGCCGTGGAGTTGGGTCGGGAGGGGGTTGGGGGAAGCCAGTAGTCGTAGTCCGACTAATCTGTGGCATTAATAAACAATCAGACAAAACTTAAACTTGCAGCATTATGACGTCTTTGTGATAAGTATCAAATTCTGTTTTTTTTGTGGTATCTAATCTTATCTAATCTGAAGTTTAAAATCAGTTTAATCACTGGCTGGGGCCGTGGGTGCCCTGTTTCCGTCCGTGGTTCGTGGCTCAGTGTCTGTTCAGAATCTCAATCTAGCAAGCAAGCAGCCCCAAATTCTCCCAAATGGTTCATCTGGTCCTCTATGGCACGGAGACGAGTCCACCGGTGCGGGCTGTCCTTCTGACACTGCGCGCCCTGGAGCTGGAGCACGAGTTCCGGCGACTGGACATGCAGGCCGGCGAGCACTTGGAGCCGGAACTGCTGCGCAAGAATCCACAGCACACAGTGCCCATGCTGGAGGATGGTGAGGCATGCATCTGGGACTCCCACGCCATCATTGGCTATCTCGTGAACAAGTATGCCCAGGATGATGCCCTCTACCCCAAGGAACCGCTGCAGCGGGCGGTGGTGGATCAGCGTCTGCACTTCGAGACCGGTGTGCTCTTCCACGGCTGCTTCAAGCCGCTGCAGCGGGCCCTCTTCAAGGAGAATGATGCCCCCGAAGTTCCCAAGGACCGGATTGCCGATCTTCACGAAGCCTACGCCCATCTGGAGCGGTTTCTCGGCGAGAATCCTTACCTGGCCGGCGGCCAGTTGACAATCGCCGACTTCAGTGTGGTCGCCACCGTGAGCACTCTGCACCTGAGCTATTGCCCCGTGGAAGGCGCCAAGTATCCCAAGCTGTCCGCCTGGCTGGCCAGGCTCTCCACCCTGCCCCACTACGATGAGGACAACCTGCGTGGCGCCCGCCTGCTCGCCGAAAGGGTCCGCGCCAAACTGCCCAAGCAGTTCGACAAGCTCTGGCAGAAGGCCTTCGAGGACATCAAGAGCGGAGCCGGCAAGCACTGAGCGCACTCGTTGTGGTCCTCGGAAGTGGCTCCTCTTTGTTGATATACCTATACCTGTACACGAGTCCAAATAAAGTTCGCCTGTCCACTTTACTGCCTCCCCTGCCCGGTGTCTCTTGTCAGATGCACTTCGAATGGCAACACAGTCAAAAACTTTCAAACTTTTTTGCGCTCATTAAAATTATAAAATTTTTCCTCCTACAAAGCGACACAAAATACATAGAAGCCGGGAGTGTGGGGCGGTCGTTGGGGTACGAATGAAAAGCGCAAAGTTTTCCTGCCGTGCCGTGTCGTGCATGCTGAAGTTGTTAAATCATAATTAATTTATGACGGCGCCATCCGCCCAGTCCGCTTCGCCCTCCTCACCCTCGTGGCGCCTCTTATCTACACTCCAGCCCCGGCCCCGGCCACAGCCCCAGACCCCGCTCACTCCCTCAAGCCACTCCATAGGCCGCTCCGTCGTTTAAAATACTCTTAAAAAGCAGCCCAACCCCGTCTACCTGCCTGGTGTAAGAAGTCCGATATTCAACCCCCAAGGAAATGAGCTAGCGATGCGCAGGTACACGCGACTCACGGACCTCTGTACCCGATACCCGATGTGTGACCGATCCTATAGTACACTATGAACAGCTGATCGGTTTTCCATTCGATTTACTCCACTGGAAAATGACTTTTCTACTATAACTAGGGTGGGAAGCTAGCCGAAAATCAAAAACCCACGGAACCTGCTAAGATTCAGTGCCATCAGACATTGTTTATGAGTAAAACTGACTATGACTCTCGCAGCATTACTCGCATACCGATAAAAAGAAAGTAAACTATCGTTACTATCAAACGATAAGTACTGCGACCCCTCGTGATATACCGTGACATCTCTAGGACTTAAGAGTACCTGCTGCGTTGGTCCTTTTGCCGCCTGGTTTTATGCGCCTCATTGCAGCTCCGGCGCGACGTTTCCGAGGATGGTGGCAGGAAACTAATTGGTTTAATTTCAACTTTTACTTTAGACCGACCTCCTGCTTGCTTCCCCTGTGCTGGGCCGTGTCCTGTCCATGACAACCCTGCCCTCGCCGCCTCTCCACCTCGCCTGTTTGCCATGCCATTCGTTAAGTTTACTTTGCTTTACGCCTGGCCCCCGCCACATCACCTTTTCGCTTTACTTCCTAGGTTTTTACTGCCTTCTTTTTGTGGGTCCGCATCCTTGCCTCCCCCTCTATTCCGCACCGAATCTACCCGGAAGGAGGCAAGTTACGATTTGCTTTTGGGGCATCTGAAGAAAACTTCAAATTCCCCAACTTGAGCTTTCGCAAATATATAGTTCCGTTTGGGAACAGAATCCGCTTCCTAAAATATACCTTCCATAACTGGAATCACTATTTCTTTTTTATTCTTGAAATAAAATTAATGAAAGGAACCACTTTCTTAAGTTCCTATAGCCGATATTTGATACTCCTGAGAATAGGATACTTCTCGCCCGCGCACTGACCACGAAAGTCATCCAGGGACACGTCATGGAAGGCCACTCCGCCAAGGCCTTGAGCCTGGGCAAAGCCGGCCTTGATGGCCGCTGTTGTGGGGTCCTCGTAGCCCACCCACAAGCCATTCTCCCCAATATCATCTGCCGAGCGGTAGGCATAGATGCCGAACCGCTTCGTGGGATCGCCCACCTTTCGCAGGTGGGGCGCCTCCTTGTCCTCGGGCTGCTGCTGAAGCAGCTCACAAATTTCTGGCCAGCTGAGCAATCCGGGAATGCGAGTTTGTTTGCCAGCTGGAGCCGCTCCGGCCGCCGCCGGTATGGGCGGATAGCCAGTGATGCCGGAGTTCCTTGTCATGTTCCAGGAGCGCCCGTAGCTGGTAACGCCGATGTGCAGTTGGTCCGCCCTGGATGGGGATGTCTGGTTCAGCCAGTACTGGACCTGGTACTGAACGTTGTGGGTGGGATCGCGGTCGTACATGGCATACAGCGGGGCGGGCAGATCCCCGACCTTGGGATCTCGTTCCGGTGTGTGGAAGTCATAGGTGCCCAGGTTGACAAAGTCCACGTGGTCGAGCACCGAGGCAACGTCGATGAAAACTGTGAAGGGAGGGATACATTCATTGGAAGCGGACCCTGGTCTCAGTACTCACGCTCTGCGTCGACGTGAGGCAACATGCTGAGGGTTAAGAGTTTGCCACTGGGTTGCAAGTCCCTGCGCAACTCCCTCACAAGAGTGGCGAACTGTTCCTTGTGCTCCTGCGATTTGCTGTCCACCGAATCCGTACTGAACCATCCCCGGACCGCACTCCACGCCCGCTTGAGCACTCCTTGCTGCAGCTTGGGCCGGTTCGCGGGGAACTGCCAGGCCAGGTCCAGGCCATCGAAGCCATAATTGCTCAGTTCCGCCCCCACGCTCGCCCTGAAGGCGCTCCGATGCTCCGGCTGCTCCAGCAAGCTCAAGTACTTACTGCTGTCTGCCACGCCCTCGGCGCTCAGATCCCGATTTCCGCCCACCGAGAGAAGGAACCGAACGTGGGGAAACCTTTGGCGCAGGGCAGTTATTTGGCGGTAATGCTGGCGATTGTAGCTCAGCTCCGGGTCGAGACTCTTGATCTTGTGGCTCTCCGCATCGATGCCCGCATAGCCGTAGACCAGAAAGTTGCAAAAATTGAGTGCAGGCTCCAGTTCAACGAGCGACAATTGTGCTGGACCTGCCAGAGAGAGAGAGAGAGACAGATAACCTCTGATCTGTTTGGCACAAAAAGATTAGAAGTCCCCACTCACCTTCCCGCACAAAACTTGCCGCATCGTAGAAGCAAACCAGCTTCCCCACCTCGGCCAAGCTGCCGTGCAGCAGGCACAGGAAGGAGCCGAGCATTAGCGCTCTGTAGAAGACACTTTGGGGCAACATGATGTTCCAAGCCTCTGTCCAGCGTGAAGATCTATTGCGAACTGCTCAGGGACTGAGTTTTGTTGTGATGATCCCCGGTCACAGCTGAAAAGCTTCGCCAAAACAAAGCGGGCTGATAAGACCCGTACCGGGTACTCTGGGTGGTGTTCTGGGTTTTGATTTCTGCCCAGAATTGTTTTTGGAAAGCAATAAGCTTTTCAAATTATTCTGCATGATGATTGATACAATTTTTCACCCGCTGAAACCAATCATCAAAGCTCTTTTCCCCTCCCCTCAAATCCACAATTTGAGACCAGTAATACACGCCTACATCCAGGCCAAAAGAACAACCACTATGAGAGGGGGAGCTTCCTAGCATCCTTCAGGAGACGGGAGTGGATACGTCACTTCCACTTCCATGGCTCAACGCCCACCCTAGGCACAACGCTACCGATTCAACGGGCACAATAATGTCTGTTCGAGCTCGTAGCGCTTAAACACATTAAAGCTCTCAACTACAGCAACAGCTACAGCAACAGCATGAGGATTTGTCACTCCGCATGACCTGGCCAGAGCAACACAACAAAACACCACAGGGGTCGGGGTCACCACTCAGACATGGACGAGTGAGTGTCCATGGCCGGTGCCTCCACCGCCTCACATATCTTGCCTTCGCAGTTGATTAGCTACGTTACTCAAGGGGTGGCATAAGTAAGCCCTGTGCGGGGAATGCTCTGGTATTTGAAGGCAGGTGGTGGCTGAAACAGGTGTGCACAGCTTTTACTTGGGTGGGCGGAAAACTCCACCCAATTGTGGTTAGGAAAATGCTAACTCTTTTGGAAATAACTATTTCGAGCGGAGGCCAGCTGGGCGCTTTCCTAATTCCCAACGAGCCCTGAAATAATTTGGGGCTCTTCTAATGTGTTTATTTTATTGGCTTGACATTTGTTTAAACTTCACTTTTGCACCCCTGAGAAAAAGTCAACACTGTCATTAAATTTATGAACAGGCCAAGGCCATTTAGCTATGCCATAAAGCCAAATGGTAAGAACTATAAAACTAACGAAGGCAAAAATAAGTAGAACTCAGGAGGCGGAGTATCCACTGAAAGATACACTACAAAGTTTGGCATTCAAATTTGGCACATTCTCTGCAAGGGTATTTATAAGTAGTTCTTGGACGAATCATGTATAAAGATATAAAATATATAAAAAAAATATAAATCAACTTCAAAAATTAAAAACGACAACCAATAGAGTGCGGGAAGGTGGATACTCAATGGATCAATGGATACTCTATTTAAGTGGACACACTCACAGAAAAAAATGAATAAGTAATAGCTTAAGCTTTAAGAGGCGTTCAGCCTGAAGGTGGGGTAAACATTCCCTAGAAAGTCTTTAATACCTGAATACCCTTTTGAAGGGGGGATTAACTTTGCCGAGTGACATGTGGCAGCTTCCCGCCACACCGCAATGTAATTAAATTGTTAACGCACACGTGTCCACCATGCGTACGTCCACACAAAGATACAAATAATACTCGTGCACGTGGAGACTCACATGCATCTGTGTGGGCTTCCGAAAGCATACGCCACTCTCCTCTCTCTACCCCACGCACAAACGCGCCGTTCCGTAATCCACTGAGTGAGTGGAAGTCGGTTGAGAGAGAGAGCTAAACCCTTTCTGTGTGCCATTCCGAGGGCGAGGGCAAGGGAAAAGGGATCCGAACTCACGGGCAACCCTCCACAGAACTCACCAATACCACTCGAAGAAATTTTGCACGGAACCCTTGAAGGCCTTTCTGTCTGTTTTAAAGCAAACTAAAACTTAGTTCAGACTATCACAACATATATTTCTGAGAAGCATCGAAATATATCGTATACACAGATAGAGTATCAGGCTTCGGCCTCCTGGCTGTCTGCTCTTTTTTTGAATCATTCGCTTAATTGCCAACAATGTGAGCCAGCTCATACGGACGGACAGGAACTTGTGCCGGAAAAGTTAATTCGACCGCAGACACGTCCATTTACGAGTACCTTCTGCGGCGGAACATACACATACTCCTGCCACAGAATTGAACCAGTTCAATTTGGGCTTTTATAGTCCTCCCAGTAATTTTTAAAGTTTAACGAACTAAACTTTCGTAAATAGTTTTTGTTTATTTTTGAAAGGGAGAAAACTCATTTTAAGCTGCCGTTTTACGGAGCTTTAGGAGTACTTGATGAGTACTAAAATTCCGGTATTTAAGGGAGTACAAACAATAAACCTACGTAAACCTATTCATATTCAGTCGAACTCTCGCTATGATTCCCAAATAGAGAGTTATTTAATGTTATATACATATACTAGTTGACCCGGCAAAACATTTGCCGCAGTACTGTGAACTATTTAGGCATTGAATCAGCTAATGGTCTTCAAGAACAGATTTGAATCGAGATCCGTGCCAATGAGCAAGCCATTCAATGATTCTGATGGTGTCTCAATTATAGATAGCTGGGCTTTTCCCAATGAGACATACCGATGTGGACCAATCAGCAATTTCGGATAAGCGGATTCATCGGTTCATAGCCGAATGCAAGACGAAGCGGATGTAATTGCTCGATGTAGAAATGAAAACGGAACGTTATTTGCCCATTATTTGCTGCACAGTGTATCAGATGCATCGCTATATATATTTGACAAGTGTTCAAAAGATCATTCCGAGTTCACCGCCAGCGAATATTGAAATATACGTGTAACCCGAATCAAATCAGGACGCAGTGAAGCTATCAGCAATGGCCTCAGGCACAGCTCATAGAAATCAACTACATAATGCATTGCTATATACCCAGATAGCACTAGCTACATATGTACATATGTATATAATTTGAAAATTGCGCATTTTAATGTTGATTGGTAGCGCCAGATGAGGTTATAAAAGAGACCTGTTCGCGCCGAACGTCAGATTAGTTGCCGCCAAGTAGCACCGGAATCAATTACAACATGAAGTGGCTGTCGATTGCCTTCGTTCTGGGCCTTTTGGCCCTGGCTAGCGGTGAGTGGGAGGCCCCGTACTGAGGATCCCCGTACTAAGCAAGGATTTCTTTTCTATGTCTAGCCAACCCCCTGACTCCCGGCAACGTGATCATCAACGGCGATTGCAAAGTTTGCAACATACGAGGCGATTAAGTCGTGAATCATGCAAAAATAAAATAAAACAAACAAAATACATTTCTGGTGCAGTTTATTTAGCTATTCTTTTGGCCAGTCTGCATCCAGTGCATCACCAACAGCTTCTCCCCGTTTGCTTCCACCAAGGTCCATGTATTATAGTGGTATCAGACGTCATCGGTGATGCTGTGGAAATAGAAAAAGATTTCAAGTTAAGGATTACTAAGGCCAGAATTTGGTTGAGGTAGAGACACCAAAAATGTGTAAAATGTACAATCTTTCCGCGGGGAACAGCTGCTTCTCTCTCTGGCAAAACCCAACGACGATCATAGATAGCCATACGTTTACTTGTATGGCTGGCAAAGTCAAATCGGATTGGGAAATACCCCTCGAAATGAACTTTTCCAATAGATAAGCCGCTGTACGTACTACTTTAAAGCAAATAGAGAAGAACCTCGGAATAGGTTCATCTGTATCCCCCCTGTCCGCCTGTCTGTACAGCTATCCTAATGATTAGCTGAACGGCAAACCATGTCAGATAGAGACCATCTCAATTGGTAATTTTTGGGCAGTACTGCAAGGTTATTAGCCTTTATTATCAGCATTTCTGCTGGATATATTTAAATGCATATAATTCATAAGTACATACTAAATATACCAGCATCTTGGGGTCCTCGTTTATCAGTGAACAATTGTTGATTCCCGCCTCACATGGTTGGGATTCGAAAGGATAATATGAGTATTATTTGATATGAGTATGCAGGCTTAAGAGGGTTTCGTTGGGCCATTTTCTCAAAAAACGCTACTATTTGTAGTTGGATTAATTTAGTAGGATTTCTTTAGGCTTCCAATGCTTTCCAACAAGGTATCCCTTCTTCAATTTGGAATACCAAAAAGGGTTCAAAAAGAGTTTGAGAGCTGCATCTTGCAGTCTATTATTTTCCACCCAAAATCTTTTTATAATGGAAACTTTATTTATGTATTTATTTTATTAGACATTTAACTAGCTGCAAAGATGATATAGTACTCCAAATACCATGGCTCCAGAAGTGAGGGCGTACGACATTGCCCCTGAACGGGGTTCCATGGGAATAACGATGGAGTCGTCACCGTCTGGTCGATTGCAATCAATGCACTTCCCATTGATATACACCTTGCCGGGCGTGGCTGCAATTAGACAAAGAAAGTTGTTTCCTCTTAATAGAGATGTCACGTCACCCACTGGAATATCAATTACCGTTGACCACAGCCAGAAGGCAGCAAAGAAGCAGCACTGCTGAGGCAAGTCCGATCGATTTCATGCTCGGTTCGGGGCTGGGCTTGAACGGAATCTGTTTCCAAACAGACGAATGCCTTGTTCTTTTATATTGAAACTGACTATAGTATTGATCTATATTCAAGCGAATACATATGTACATCTATGTATTAAACGTACATACATCTATAAAGAAAGTTCCCTAGAAACGTTGTGAGTCGCTGCCACGGCCGCGACGCTACATTTATACTCAGTCAGAATGGCTCTCCTCCGTCAGAGGACGAAGAGTGTGTGAGAGATAGACACTGCACATTGATCTGTTCCTTCTGGCTACTATAATACTTCGATCTTATCCAGATTTTGCAGTCTGCTAGATATGCTATATATTTTTTTTCGTATCTTCAAAAGTGAGGATGCCACAGATTTTAGTTCCTTAGTTCCTAGTCTAGATAGTTGCTGTAGCTCTTATAGTCTCTGAGAACTAAGCGTCAAGCAAGACGGACAGATAGACCTGGCTCTATCAACTGGTCATTGTATATATATACTTCATTCAGTCAAATACGCTTCCTTCTGGGCGTTACACACAGCCATTTTCTGCACAAACCTAATATACCCCTATATTCTTTTCGAGGTTGTGGTATAAAAAACAGTGTATTAAAATGGAATAGCTGAAAATGTTACTAGTTTTTTGAATAGTTCTTAAAAAAGTTCTAACTACAACTAAAAACCAACTACAAAAACTTTCCCTCCTCAAATAAAATAGTATAGGTGCGATTTCATTTTAAAATATATTTTGTATTCGTTTAGAAATTCAGTTTAAGGCTTAAGACATTATATTATGCGGCGGTGTGTTGTGTTCATTGTGGCCGATTGTAGCGATCCTCCGACTGCGACTACCTTAAGCCCTCACATTGCACGTGCGGCAGTCGCCGTTGATGATGACATTTCCGGGGTTCAGTGGCGTGGCTACACACACACAAATAAATATAATAATTAAATTTAAATACACTTTTATATATTTTTGTCTCAACTCACCGTTAGCCAGAGCCGCCATCAGGCCCAGGACAAAGGCAAGCGAAAGGAATTTCATTGTGGATTAGTGAAGATTTGGTGCACGGCAGGCAGGCAACTGATGCCGAACGCCAGGTAAAGCAAAGCTTTTATACCCCCAGAGCCCCCAGAGCTGGGGCTGGAGCCTGCACGCAATCAGAGGCTTATCAGTGGCTGACTTGGGAAAAGGCAGCGCATCCACTGGGAATTTCCGAGAGCCACACCACCCCGACGCGGATAGCCCAGACAAATTCCCCAAGTGCAGTGCGACGTCTCAATGAAATTGAGCGTAAACAAGTACTCGTACGGCCAGAGGCTAGATTCGATTCACGTGCTGAACTGAACCGAGATCGCAAACCTGATTTGTTTTCCCAGTAAAACGACTTGTTCTACAATCTAAGTGCCAACTTAAGCAGGTTCAATTCTGATGAATTAATAAACGTTTAAATTGAGTGTAAATCTAAACAAGCAATATACAAGTTTCAGAGTGTAATTTTTAGAATTTCTCTATGTTAAGGGCTAAAAAGAAAGAGACAGAGAGAGTTGTAACGGACGGTGTGGCATGGAAATAAATAGCGAATAAACGGAATGCAGGAATTTGTTTTACAAATTCCAAAGGTATATTGAAAATGCGACTAAATCAATAACCTGAAATGTTCTAGGAAGGGAAGCAAAACAAGCAATATTCAAATCTGAGAGTATAATTTAAATAGTTTCGCCGAATATATGTATATAGAGAGAGAGAGAGAGAGAGAGAAGTGCAACAGACAGTGTGGCATGGAAATGCAATGGAATATGGTTTAAGGTGGCAAGAGGATAGACGGAAGAGGAAGATATTGCACTAGTTAGATACATACCTATGTACATTTATTTATGTATTGAAAATTAGTACCAGGGTCCACTATAGTGTCCCAATGTCAGGAATGGTTGTGCATATATGTAGACGGGAAAATTTGTTCTCTGTTTACAATTGAAGTATTTATATTTATTTATAACAGAGAGTTTTTCCGAGAATGAAGGGTATTTTGATCATCTTGTTACAGAAAAATCTTAAATGCAACAGATTCAAACCAATAAACACTATTAGAGGAGAGCAATCGTACTTTAGTTCTTTAGTTTCTTTAGTCGTATACCGCCTCTTCAAGCTCCATTAAACCAAAGTAGTGCCCACCCATTAGTCCTAGATATTAATCAAGAATGTCTTTATACAACTAATGGAGGTGGAGATACTCCTTCGTGGACAACATTATAACACCCTCTGGAAGAGTATTTAAGTGTCTCCCTGGGTTAAATGCGGAATGCAGAGTGAGGAAATAACTTGGAACGATAAAATATGTATTGATTCATTTAAGGTTTTATATTTGTTTTTTAGAGAAAGTGGTAGCATAAATATGGTGCATTAAGTTTGAGGTATGTTTATTTTTTTTTTATCTATGTATGGCCTTCGGTCGATATTCGGGCAAGGGTGGCAGGCCCCTACTTTCCTCCATGGACATTGCAGTACTTGCAGTCGCCGTTGATGACCACATTGCCGGGATCGGGCGACAGGGGAACAGCTGGAATATCGTAAATTATAGTAAATATTGAAGGCTTATCAGGCGCTTAACTCACCATTGGCCAGGGCGAGCAGACCGAGCACAAAGACGGTGACAACTGAGAAGAACTTCATGTTGATGCTGGTTTTGGTTTGGGTTCTGTTCCTGGATCTGATCTGGACTTGTTCTGGTTCTGGGCGAGTGCCTCAACTGATGCTCTCGGCCAGTCGGCAGCGATCTTATATAGTCAGCTTAGCGTCGGACCGACTCGACTCGGTTCAGGTGCAGTGGGCTTTCAGATAACCCCAGACCCAGGCGGTCTTGGGAAAACACCGATCGTCGCTCAGGCCGATAATATTATTATTTTGTTGCGTATTTGATTCTGGATTTTCCAGCGCACAGCCTATAGGGACGAATATAAATATTGCAAGCGAAGTCTTCATCGAAGCCCCAATGGGGAATCTAGTGCGATTTCTTATCAAAAAGATCCCCCATACCCATCTTAAAGAATCACTGCTGCTGTTGGATTGATGGACTTGGCTTTGGGGTAAGTATTGGGATTTCAAACACATACCTACTCGATTTGGGATTGCGATTTCGTAATCTCTATGAGCAAAAGTCATTAATAGTTCAGCTTTGTCTATAAAATACCTACACATGTACGTTTTCCAGTTCTAGTAAATATATTTACATTCGCAAGCATTTACTTCGTCTTATATACGTTTATTGGATGCATTTATTATAGAAAGATTACGGATCGCTCTGTCGATCGGGACGGGTATAAAAGAAACGTGTCTGGCAGGGCGGACAGTGCTCTAGCCAACTGCACACGCGCATTATGAAGTATTTAACGCTCTTGGCCGTTTTGCTCTTGGCCACGTTGGCCTTTGTCCAAGGTCAGTTTCCGTTCGCTGGCCACTAGACGCATCTAATATCTTTCACTCTGCAGCTGGCAAAGTGACCATCAATGGCGAGTGCAAAGACTGTAACGATGGCCGCACGACAAGCACCACCCATAAGACACCACCCCGAGGACAAGGACGCCAGACGACGGCCAAGCCCAAGCCAAAGACCGCTCCGGGGCGCCGCCACCAAGCATCAGATGAGGATGACGACGATTCGGCTGGTGACTGGGCATTGCACCAGTCGGCTGGCGGATCCCAGCACATAGGAAGACGCCACAGACGCCAGTGGGAGCCTCGTGGCCAGTACATCAATCTGGGTGGAGCTGGGGGCGGAGGCGGCCGAGTGACTACCATTGATTCTCGGGGCTATCCGGGAACCGTTGTGCGCAACGACGACTGCGTCGGTTGCAACATTCGGGGTTGAGACGATGCCCGGCCTAAAAGTTGATCTAAATAAATTAATCAAAGCTCGATAGCTGTGAGCTTCGTGGAAAACCTATGACAAAGAATTACCTGTAAATCGAACTGGTTTGGGGGCATTTTCCAGGTATGGACTCGAAGCTGCTGAGAATGTTTAAAAGCGATCTGCTTTGCCGTGTTCCGACTAGATTTCGCCTGCACACAGATCGAGAATGATGCATCTAAGCCTCGCCTTTGCTATTGGCGCTGTTCTGGTCTGCCTGGCCTCAGGTAAGCCGACGAGCGGGGGTCCCTTCCTAGCCCCTTGACATCCCTCTGTCTCTAATCCCAGCTGGAACCGTGGTCATCAACGGAAGCTGCAAGGATTGCAGTCCCCCCGTCGCCGAGACTGTGGTAGTCGGAGGCAAGGCCTACGAATCGGGCCAACCAGGACAGGGCACCGCCTACATCAACTCTCCTGATGCCAATCCAGGTGCTGTTGGATCCACAGCAGAAGGTACACCCAGTGGCTGGGACTATAAGGACTTCGATGTCCGCAACGAGTTTTGAGTTTGGCCTATAAATGAACGGCCCAAGGCCCCATTTAATGTACTCGTAACCGTGTGACATTAATAAAGGAGCATTCCGTAAGAGGAAAATATAGAACACCAATGAAACGATATTAAAAACGAGGGGGAACGTTGTGAGTTGCTGCGGACACCGCAACTCTACAGTTATACCCGATACTAAGTCAGTATGGCTCTCCTCCGGCAGACGCCGCTTATATTAATCGACACGACAAAGAGTGCGTGCGAGAGAGACAGAAAATCAGTCTGAGCGTGACGTCGGGCGCTGCGTAGCCACTGCAAATTGATTTGTTCCTTTTGGCTATAAAAATGATCTGATCTGATCCAGATTCAGCAACCTGATAGATATGGTCATTATCTATGATTCTGCGTTGTTAGTTTTCTCGAATCTGCAATATTGTGGATGCAACAGATTTTCGTCCTTTGTGTGGGCGGAACGGGGTGGGGCGAAATTTTGAGATACACGTTTTATAGTGAGATCTAAGAGAAGTGCGGATTCCAAATTTCGTTACTCTAGCGTTAATAGTCTTTGAGATTTGTGAATATCCCCAGATTTGCATCCTTTGCGGGGGCGGAAGGGGGTGTGGCGAAATTTTGAAACAAACTCGTCTCGGTCTGATATATTAGGAGTGTGGATACCAAATTTGGTTGCTCTAGCTTTTATAGTCTCTGAGATCTAGGCGCTAATGTTTTACTCTAAGCAAAGCCGCCTATGCTACCTGTGTGTTAGAGAGAGACAGGGCGAGAAAAAATGAAATTGTTTTCTTGATGCTGGCTATAATAGTAATACGATCCAATTCAGATTCTGCAGTCTAAAAGATATGGTCATTCTCTACGATTCTGCGTTTTTTGTTTTCTCGTATCTTTAAAATTGTGGATGCCACAGATTTTCGCCCTTTGTGGGGGCGGAAGTGGGCGGGGCAAAGTTTTGAAATATTTTTGTAGCAGTGACATATCACAGAAGTCTGGATCCAAAACATCGTTGCTCTAGCTCTTATAGTCTTTGAGCATTAGGCGCTGAAGGGGACGGACAGACGGACAGACGGACGGACGGACAGACGGACAGACGGACGGACGGACAGACAGACATGGCTCAATCGACTCGGCTATTGATGCTGATCAAGAATATATATACTTTATAGGGTCGGAAACGATTCCTTCTGGACGTTACACACATCCACTTTTACCACAAATCTAATATACCCCAATACTCATTTTGAGTATCGGGTATAATTAGATTGGATTTGACAAATTGGATCGAAATTATTTGATAGATGGAAAAGATAAGCTCCACATGAGCTCCAAATGAGTGCTCTCGTTAGGACTCACCTTTCGATTAGTACTATATCGTATATATTACGCTTCAATCGGAGAAATCGCTCTCTTCAATCTCCTGCGATGGCACATGGGATGAAAATGGTAATGCTATGAACGGCAGGGTATCTAAAATTGGGGAAGGAATGGATCCAGCGGTTGTCTATAATTTCTGAGATATTATTTATATTCTACACTGAGAGAAAAATGGCATAGTTCAAGGAAGTTACCCATTTTTAGATTTAATATTCAGGTTTTAAATGCAAACATATTGAAATTAAATAGAATACCCTTTTATAAATGTATTAAAAAGTCTTTTTGATACTTTCCACATTTCATCAAAACATAAAAAACTTTTTGAAAATAATCAACTTATATATTAAATATATTTTAAGCAATTAAGTGAAAGCACTTAAATTTTAATATTTCCTTAAATATTTAAAACTTAGTGAAAATTTCAGGGCTTTTCTATGCAATTAGTGCTACAAAATATACATATACTCATAGGGAATATACATATGTAGGTCTTCATTCAGGAATCCCTTTCTTTTTTGCATCTGCATGGAAGACACACCCACTGGCTACGAGTGCATTGCTTCTGCCTTGATTTTTAATATTATCAATTTTTAATTATTATTTACTGATTTTATTATTCTTGTATTTGTGGGTGTGGTTTATTTCTTATCATTTCGGAGCTGATTCCCCAGTCGAACTCTTGAGAATTGAAACCTCAGCGTCATTTAGCTCGGTCTGAGTGTTTTTCCTGTATTTTTTAAAAGCAGATCTATAAATATAGCAAAGTCTTTTACTTTCATCACATTCCCAAGTATAGTACTTTCCGAAAGTTTTAAAGAACAGCTTAAAAGCTTCAGAACAGCCTCATTACTGGATAGGTTATCAAGTCACATGGGGGATTTATTTTTTTCACTGTCTCGGTTGGGAAAATCCACAGATTTCAATAAATTCTAGGTTTTTTTTTCTGTTCTTGCGTTACTCAGTCATGCAAATATGATTGGGCTATATAAAAAGTTCAGTCAGGGGCAAGTCTCCGTCAGTCTGCCGTCTTATTTCTCGTTGCAATGAAGTTTATGCCGTTGTTGGTCGTCTCGCTGCTGGCGCTCCTCTCCCTCCTGGTCAGTGGGGGCGATGCACGTAAGTAGTGCTAGTGGCTGGCTTTTACTTGAAGAGTCCTCTGATAATCGTTTGATCCACTGCAGGCAGTATTTTGAAAATACCCAAAATTACCGTCAGGAATGGCGATATCATTGTCCACGGCAACTGCAATGGCTGTACGTTCCGTGCCACCAAAAACACGGCACAGTTATCAATAAAACTGAGGAGCAAAACCACCTACAGGGGTTAGGATAGATATAGATCCATATAAGAGTGTACTTTACGGACGTTCTTGCCATATTGTTAATCTAGTAATGGAGCTTGTCTGATTCCTCAATACTCTGTGTGTAAGCCTTGTGATAAGTTAATAAATGTACCTACATATTTATTTTAATCTATGTATTTCTGAAATGGTTTTCAAGTTCAAGTTCGGCCAACGATTTTTGTTCAGCTTATTATCTCTATTGCCCTTGCAGTTCTCTTCTTCTTTTACGTCCAACTCCTCGGTCAACGGTTGCGCTTGTCGTCTGTGTATCCCGTTGCTGTACTCGTCTAAGCGAGAGAGAGAGAGAGAGACTTGCTCAGAGATGATCGAAATTGACGAGCAAATGAGAGCGCGCGGGAGCGTCTTCCTATGCGATGGTGAGTAAGGGCTATGGGTAAGAAGAGGGTGATATATCAGTGAGAGTATCAGAGTGAGTACAAAGAGAGCTTGATTTTAGACATTTGATATCTGTACCCAAAATGAAGGGCCCTTGCCCTAGCTCTCAATCGGTGCTGGTTCACCTGAGCGTGTCTTCACTGTTCAATATTAATAATATTTTATTGGACATGCCAAAATGCTCTCGTAAATTTGTCATAAAACTCAAGCTTGGCTCGTAAATCATTCCGGGCTAGAGCCCAGCTCATGCCTCATAGGTAGAACACATATTTCAGCAAAACGCATAAAAATTGCCATCATATTTGGCTTTATCCAGGCCATGCCTCCCCCTCAGCCGGTAGCCAAACCCGTACACGTGTTTTTCATTTTCCTTTCGGTGGCGTTGGCTTCTCTGTCGAGCCACGTCCCTGTGTTCTTTGCCAACAATTTTATTACCAAGAAAAACCCAACGAAAGGCAAACCGCTGTGCTCCTGTAAATGACTCCCCAGGCACCTTTATATTGACTCGTAAAATTGCGACATTTAGTTGTGTGCCAGCGCACCCCCAAAAGCAACCCCCCATCGTCCCTTTTGTTCCCTGTTCCCTGGTAACTTCCTGTCGTTTGTTCTTGTCTTTGGCCAGAGCCAGACCCGGACTCAGTCCTGGAGGCGGAGCCGGAGCCAGAGCCTGGGTCGAAGGACGAGTTTCTTAACGTTTTAAATTTGATTTTTATTCGCCCGACAGTTGTAGCCGGCAAACGATTTTTTTTGTTATTGATTGAAAGGCCGCCCCAGGCAGCCAGGCTACCCCGCCCCCCGACAGCGTGTCGCGCCATTGATTTCTTTGGCGGAAATTGGGTTTGGAGGAGAGGCCGACTCAGGTGGGGAGGGAGAAAAGACTCAGTAAATAAAGCAGCACAAAAAAATTATCATTGCAGACACTTGATAGATTTGTCATCGGCTCTATCTTTTGTTCATTTCTTCATTATTTGCCTTTCGATTCAGTGGATTCGAATGGAAGCTTCTGGCAAAAATTTGATTAATTCCACTCTTGGTTGTGATGTCGAATGATTTATTGGATTTTTTAAGTACTCCATCGAGGGCGAGGCGATTTTTCATAATTAAATTCATTTCGTTTCATCTGCTGTACGTCACATTGCGCATTCGCACAGTTGCACAAAAAAAGGTTTACCCTTACCATCTTCCATCGGCATTTCAATGGCATTATACAGCCCCCCACCCCCCCTCCCCCCCTGCACCCAGCGGCTTCCTACCAGGAATGAAAGTGGCTTGCAATTTGTTTCCGTTTTTTGCATTTCCGCTTTTCTGCTTTTCTGCTTTTCCGCTTTTTATTTTCATCTTGAAGAGGACAGGACGAAACGTTACTGAGGAGCTTTCATGCCAAAGCAATGACTGGGAGATGAGAAATGAACGTATTCCCTTCTCTGTGCTGGAATTGTCATTGCAATTATGACCCCTCGGGGCTAAACTTGTCTTGCAACAGATGACTGTGAACCGATTATACAATCGTAACCGAAATATCCGTTCCATCTTCCATCACACTCGCACAGCCGGCGGCCACATGTCCTGGTGGCCAGCACAACAGAGGGACTCACAGGAAAACAATTGGCAAGCCACACCCTCGGGCCACACACAACCCACAGTCCCAGCTCCAGCCCCACCTCCACCTCCACCTCCTCCCAGATCAACTGGTCATTCAATTTTCCTGCCCCCCCCCCTCTTCCGCCGATTGCATTATGCAGCTTACCTCGATTCTGATTTCATTTACGTAATTACCTGACCAGCTGCCTCTGTCTCTGCCTCTGTATCTGCATCAGGGCCAAGCATCGTTCGATTCTGCTGTGGTTGCTGCTACACTTGGAGAAAACGCGCTCAAGTATGGATGGATGAGCTCGAACAAAGAGTATAAGTGGGTATACCTTCACTCTATACTTCAAAAAATGACGTGTAAAATTTTTTGCTACTTATCTTAAAGGAAAGTTATTAGTAGACTATTTCTCCCAGTGTCTGCCTGTCTATGGGGCATCGACAGGTCCAGATGACGGTGGCCCCTGCTGCTGGCTGGGGAAACCGAGTTGATTAAATGCTGTAATTGATGGAATTGCGAATGGGAGGGATCCAAAGGTGTAAATGATCGGCTTGGTATGCCGCCTGGATAAACATGTCATTGTCGTTAGGCGATTGATGCCGGGTGACTGGGTGAGCTCCAGGGTGATTTAGGATGGCTCTGGCTCTGGCCCTGCCCCCTCAGGGTCGTCGGCCAGCGTCAACGGGCGTCAATCAAAGGAGCACACGGAATGCGAACGTATTTATTTCATAAATATTTGCGACAAGGGTCGAGGAACGACTCCATGAACAGGGACAGGGACAGGGGCAGGGAGCAGTCCGACACAAAAAAAAAGGTTGAAATAAAAAATGGTTTAAAAATTGAAAGGATTATGGGGTGAGCGGCAGCGAAGCGCGTTAATGTTGATGCCGCCGCGGCGCTGTACACGCAGGGAGAGGAACGGTTCTGGCAGGACTGGCAACGGCTCGGGTCGGGTCGGTTTGGGGCTTGGGGAACCACAAAGGCTGGAAACTGGGCTGGATCTGCTGGTATGTTGCTGGTGTTGCTGTCAGTCAAATAAACTGGGGGAAAAAATCAACGACGAATGGCTACACACGACACAACCAAAACGAGGCCCTGCCTCTGGGACTGGTGGATGGGATGGGGGGAGGGGGCAGGGTAGGCCACGTTGTTGATGGTCAACAATATAATTTGAACAGGAATGAAAAATAAACGGGGCAAACGAGGATACGGAGCCAGCGCCAGAGCCAGAGCCAGACCTGGACTGGAGACCCCTCCACGGAGTGTGGGAACACACACACACATGCATAAAATGTGCAATTTTTGTATAAATCAAATCAAATATGTGAACAAAATGTTTTTTATTTGGGTATTTTCTGCACCAAAGTTTTGAAAGGACTTAAAGCTCAGTGGAAAGGACTACAGCAGAATACAGAAAAGCCAGAAAGCGGAAATTTGTTGTACAAATAAATATAACACAATATTCACAATCATTCCTGGTCTCAATCGAAAGGATATGTACTGTAGTTACTCCAGCGAAAGGTCGAAATAAATAATAAATAACTTGCGGGCTACCAAAGTTGAGTACAATACAAGTCTACGTACGAGACAATCAAACAGCGACGACACCCACTGTGCAAATTAAGCTGTTTCAATCCTGTCATTCCGCGAACCACTGTGCATCGCCAAAGCTTCTCCCTTGCATACGTATTACGTACACAGTTCGGTTGTTTTCTCCCTCTCACGCCCGCTCTCTTGCGAGTTTCACTCCACTCCTAATGCTGCTGCTGGCAGTTTGCTGGCCAACGGTAAATGTTATAACTGTGCTGAGGATTTGTCGCTACTGTTTGGGAGTGGAACAGCTGCCGCCTTTCGGCAGCTTCAGCTTCAGCATCGGCTTGACTCGGACTCAGACTTGGACTCGGAATCGCAAAACTCAATTTATTGTTGAGCGCCGCAAGCAGACGTTGCTTCTCCTTCTCTGTCGCTCACTCAACATTATCCATCTATCATATTTGCTATAGTTCTTCCTTCTGCCCTGCGGTTGTGTTTGCTCTGTCCCTTTCCGTTCCGTCCTGCTCTGTCCTGTCCTGTCTTGTCCTATCCCTGGAGCTGCAGGACTTTATGTCTATTCTCGCTTCTCGGCGTTGACTGCTGGAAATTGAAAATCATAATCGCATCAACTTTCTGCACACAGTCCAGGCACCAGCAGCAGCAGCACCGCCATCCACACTCGAAACTTTCTCTTTGCTCTCCGTCGCTGGCAAAAAATAAAAAGGAAAAACCAACCAACCCAGAATGTGGGCAACGGACAAACTCTGAATGCTAGAAAGATAATTTGTTGAGATTAGTTTTAGCTCTCAATGTGTGTGTGGCTGTGCGTGTATGTGTGGGTGTGTCTCGGTTAACCTCTGCTCATTGCGGCTCCCTTTTGTCAGATAAATAGACTGAGAGAGAGAGAACAGAGCGGAAAAGGGAAAGCTAGGAGAGACAGTTGCTTAAGGAGCAACTTTTGTGCATATAAATTATGTGCAAGTTGATTATAAAACAATGCAAAACTGGCAAAAACTTTTCCCGCTCAAGTACCATTAACTTTGATAGTTTTTGGGGGGATCTCTGTGCGGGACACAGAACCTCTCAATCACGAGTCTGTGAGTCCGTGAGTCCGTGAATCCGTGAGTCGTCTGTCACGCAGACATCTCTGCCGTCAATCGGTAGCTGTCCCTGCTCCTTTCGACATTAAGTGGTGCCATCATCCCCTGCCCCTGCTGCTCCCTCACGCCATCAAAATTAGCCTCGCTCTGCTGGCCGTAAGCCCGTCATGATGTGGCAAGTTCCAGGTTCCATGCTCCGGTCACATCCATTTGCGGTTTTTTTTTGTGCCATGTAATTGTCGATCCCAAGCGTATGCCAGGCCATTAACGTGCTGCCTTCCGCCGTTAACTGATAAGTTAGCCAGTTTGGACAGCAGATGTGGCTATATTAATTGGGGCCTAGAATGAGCAGGACTTACTGCTGCCAATCTGCCAATTTGTGGAATCTCGTTGGAATCTCTCTCTCTCTCAGCCAGTGAGTTCCCTAATAACGAGAACAATCACACATAATTATAAATATAAACGAAAATATCAGTACCAATGATTTCCCAGCTGTTACAATTTTACATGAC